AAAAAAAAAAAAATAAAAAAATAAAAAGAAAAAAGAAGAAAAGTTCATTATCGACTTTTCCTCGGCGCATGATTTTAGCTCAGCTACGAAGAGTCCTCTCCGAAAGCCTAGACAATGTGAATATTGCATAGCTTCATCATAGATGTCTCTCGCCCTTTTGGCCAGGTCATTATTATGTGTGATATGTATATCCTTTTTCTTCTTATTGTTGTCGTTGTAAATGCTGTCTCTTATTGAGAATTTTAGCAGTTAAATGTGTTGTATATAATGCAAGTGTCCCAGTTTTCCGTTTTCCTTTTTTCTAAAATTTTATTGTCTTTGCGACTTGATTAACAGATTGGTGGGAATTTTTCCTATTTCATATCAGTTAACGTGTGTTTACAATTTGTCATGTGGTCATGTGTGTGTATGCACTAAGAAAATATCGAATATAAAAAATAAACTTAATAGACGAAAGATTTATCCCCCCATCTAGTAAGTGGTATAGGTCATTTATGATTGCACTAAATTATTTAAGAATTTCGATGTGAGAAGAAAACTTCGATAAAAACACTTCAAATTATTTTCTCTTTAAAGCGTATTACTACCACTACCTTATATATTAGTTAGTTATGTGCAAAATAATTTATTTCATTCTTCTTTTGTGCTTTTTATCCTTTTCCTTCAATTGCGAAATGATATTATTTTTGAATGGTAGGCGTGGTAGGTTGTTGTTAATCAAATAATTTCGTTAAGAAGGAATTTATTAAATTTGAATTACTTTCGTCTCATTTTCACCTATCGTCACAACGATAAATAAATTCATTGGTTTTGAAAAAGTTTGCCCGCCCTATCTAAAACAATGAAACACATTTGGCTTTTACACTTTTTACACTTTTTAGAATGTAAAGAGCAGAAGGGATATTAGCATAAAATCACCCTGTGTTTTAATTGCATATTTTTTGGATTCACGGAACTGAACTTGCGTTTTTCTTTCCTATAACATGTGTATTTGCGCAACTTTTGAAGGTAAACGCTTTCCTGGCTTAAAACGATGTCGTCCACGATGACGTCCATGCGTATGTAAGGCACAAAGCAAAAAAACAAAAAAATTAATTAAAGAGATCTTTGTTATAGGATCGGAGCAAAGAATTGATTACCAATACTTTTTGAAGTGACGATTATCTGAAATTCGAAACAAAACGAATCTATAGACGCGATAGCGTATTTAGGCTGAATATGGAATGAGAATGTGACTGACGGATCAAATTTTTTTTTTTTTTTGGATATATGACCTTCTTAACGGTTTGCGTTTGTTTTTTTTCCTAGCAATCATTCAATCCGTTCACATGACATCGTGTTGATTCAAAAGCCAAAGTCAAATAATTGTCATCTATCATCTAAGACGACGACGACTGTTTAATTTCTTCAGTGACTGTGTGTCCCTTATGCTCTTGCATGGGCCGCCTTCGACGGCCTTGTAATTTGGCTCATTTTCATATTCATATTCATTCATTCTATTGAAATATCTGGGAATACTAAAATTTGATGATATATATTAGCTGGTAGTTAAAAAGATGGATAGTTTGCAAAGCTAGGATTCTAGATTTATTCTGGATTAATAATAACTTGATTTAAATTAATTCTCACTCCTTATAAATGAATGACTTATGTATTTCTATCTAAATGGATTTTGAGTTTCTTTAGTTCATGTGCAGATACAATTATAAGAAAATTTCGCAAAGTCCCTCAAGTCGAATGGGCTCGACGGGCATGCTTTGTACTTCGGACTGGTATATACAACTACACTGTTAGCACAAGATAAACGGCATTTATGTGCTGTGACGATAGATACATTTCTCCTAATTTCGCAATGAATTAAGCAAACAAGGTTATTCCAAGTATGGACAAAAACTAACGAGTGGAGTAACACCTTTAACACCTTTAGTGGTTTGCCTGTTAACAAATGGCTCGCAATTATGTTATCCAAAAAAGCAATTCTACACATACGCCAGCGTTTATTTAATAAAAGTTTCCTTTTTTTTATTTTATTTATTTAGTTATCAATAACCACTTATGGTGCGTAAAACGTTTAAAAAGCCCATTAAAAAAAAAAAAAAAAGTTGACACAAATTGTCGCGGGCCCATGCCTATTGTATATTGACTCCATTTATAGGTCAACAATATACGAGCTTGTTTGTGGAATGGGGGATGGAATAGAAGACATGTGTCTGTCTGCCACTCACTGACGCTATTCTAGGCTTAATGTTCCCAATAATTTACATAAATAGCTGAAATTTCCAGTTATATTTATTTTAGATAACAGTTAGATATTCGAGCATGTATTCGAGCAAAAGTGAATGTAAATACTACTCGACTTCAGTAATCGTCAAATTTTGAGATTTGATTTAAGATGAACATAATTACCTTACCTAATTACCTTTGTTGTGCGCTAAGTCTTCCGATTTATTGTTCGCTATATATATATATATATATATATAGCTTTCGTTACAATACAGTTTTATATTTCGGATTTTATCAAAGCACTTTAAAAGTTTTATTGAAGCCTTTCATTAACCAGACAATCGTATAACTAATTAATTTTGACCGATATGTGAAAATTTTCTTTCAGCAATAAATCGGAAAGCAAATGTTTATATATCCGCTTCACTCACTTGAACCCTCAAAGTCACACGCAAACATATGAAGTATTTCGTTGATATGCCCAGTTGCACTTTTAAGTTTTCGCATTGCCAACGTCTACGTAAAAAATTGAAGCAAAAAAAAAAAAAAATAAATAAAATTTTTTTGTTCATTAATTTCAAAGGAGACACCTACAAGCCCATTTTATTGTTTGCAAATTCCAAAAATACACTTTTCGCCTACTAATTATTGTTGAAATTCTTCAAATTAGACCTCATTCGTTCCTAAAAAGATTAAAATTCGAAAAAACAAAAAAAAAAAAACAGTGAAAATGGATCAAAACATCGTTTGCTCGAAGCAAGTCATGACGCAATTAGGCAGGTGCACTAAGTGCGCTAAGTGCGCAACGTACATCAAGCATTCGACTTACAAGAATTCATAGCCTAGAATTGTAGCTAATAGATGTCGCTATTAATCAAATTTTGATGCTGAAATCTTGGGTTAGTTATAGGATTGCATATTAATGCATTGCGTTTTGTTCGAAACTCGAAACTTTTCCGAACTAGTTCTAGATTTTATTCTCGCTATCTTTCAAAATTGCTTTTTAATTTCTTGTTATTATTCCCTTATACCACAAGTTGGGTAATATGAAGCTTATGTGGATGTACGCAACAGTCAGAAGGACGTGAAATGCGTGGAACCAGCTTTCATTACACCGATCTATTCAGAGTTACTTTCTGAATCTAAATCTAAAGTTGTCTATCCATTTAGTGTTTTGTATTCAATAAACAGGTCGCAATTGTTAAGATATTTCGATAATATTTCGTATACTGGAATTTTTTTTCTCCCAGTAACGCGCGCTACTGAAAATGGTTCGGGTCGGATCACTTTTTCGATCACACACTCCGCCCCCGCCATATAGAAGCTTCTCTTTAAAAGTCGTTTTATATAAATAATTGTATTAAACGACGTGGAATAGGGTATTTAATAGTGGGCACTATAACAGAATACTGCTTTTTACCTATTATGGATAATAAATTTGTGTTTTATAGGAATATTATTAGTGCACTACCGGCACTATCATTTCAATCAATTCTTTTGAATACCTCAATGTACGAGGTCTAAAAGCCTTCGCTTCTCCGCTAATCTTAAATAAATTCGGGAAAATAATTTATAATATTGTTGTCATCATTACCTCTTAAAATATATATTTAAAAGTTCTTTTCAAAATATGGTTTCGCTCTTAATCTCGACTAAAACTATGCTGTTAAACCAAGATCTTCCGTATTACGGCCCGATTGTTCTCGAACTGCTTTAATTTATTTATCGACAAAAAAAAAAAAAAAAAAAATTACGCATTTCTTTTCGTTTTGGGAATCCAAGTTATAGGAAATAATGGATGGATAATAAAATTGTGAATTGTCATTGAAAAATTTCGTAAACACAATTTTTCATAAAAAAAAACTCGCATTCGCGTAGATAATTAACAATTTTTCAAATTAGGTAACATAATTTTTCATTACGTATCAAGAAACATTGAATTTTATGAAATATCTTGAATAATATTTTTAATAATTTTGTTTCATAGCTTCATATCCATTAAACGCCAGGAAATGGTTAAAATCAAAAAGGGTGAGTTTTATAATTTCTCATTTGACTTATTTACCAAAGTAAGGTTAACTTTAACTGGAAAATATATAAAATGAATCGAAGCTGAATGATTAACACAATTCGTTCTTGAAAGTTTAGGCATAGGGTATTTTCAATATTACACAGAATACCACAATAGCATGCACATTATTTATGTATTCATTTTATTTTATTTTTTTTCTAACAATAAAATACCTGGAGAAGCGTATTAAAAATAATAAAGTAACGCAATCTCTCTTTCCTTAGAGGCCGCTTACGACAAATATGCAAAATGATTTCTTATTGTTATTGTTATATATATATATATTTATATATATATATATATATATATTTTTTTTTTTTTTTGGCTCTTTTTGATTTGAATTTTTTTTTTTTTTTTTTTTATTCGTTACAGTTTTTAGGCCATACTGATTATGAGTTCCACAAAGCAACACGTGGCTGTGGCTACAAATAATACAAATTTGTCGAATTCTGCCCGGCCACAAAAGGATTATAGTGCTGAAGATTCATTGGGTCGACAAAATAGTTTTGGAAATAGTAGGAGAGTAAGTATATAATGTTATTTAAAATGTTTCGATGTATAAAAGTGAAAGATGTCGTAGAAAAAACGAAGCTATTGAATGAGCTCCGCCTTATTAAGAAACCTTTATTTTTTTTTTGCATTTCCTAATCTAAACTCCTCAATAATAATTCAGGCTAAGAGTAAACTAACTTTATTGTTTCGTTTTCAACTAAATGGTCAAATACTCAACGTTTTTACGAGCATGCGTTTGAGAAAATTACATCTCTTGGTCAGGTGTCGATTAGATCTTTTGTTGTAAATTTCTAAAATAAATTATTAATAAGATATTTAAAAGAAAATCTTAAATTTTGGAATAATAAGCTTATGGATAAAGCATATATAGTGAAAAGTTAATGCCATATGAGGAAGAAATGTGAAGAAGATTTCTCTCGTTTGCACTAGATTGACAAGGTTATGTTGATAGGACTGATTTATAACCATTTAATATATTTTCTTAGTACATTACTTGATGCTTGATGCGCATTATTATGAAAGGATTTTTCTTGCTCTTTAATGTGGAATTGAAAATTTTGTAGCTGGTCATATTAGCAACGCCAAAATGGAAATGCAAAAGGACAGAACGATACAGATTGAAATTATAACAATTTTATAGCACTTAATACTCATAAAAGCATGAAGCTCTGAGTCAATAGTATTCGCGAAACTTCAGACATAGTTCGGTTAATATTTTTCGCAGACATATGTACTGTATTCGAAAAGGTGTTGCCAATTATTCTCTTTGTTATTCTTGCAAGCTTGCTATCAAAATGTGAATTCTCGCACAACACATTTGCATATATATCGCATTCTGGTGAAGGGTATCCAAGATTCACTTATACCTTGAGAAATAGGATTTTGTTTTATCATTAGCGCTTTGCTTCACTTCAAAATATTTCGATAAACCTCAAATGGAAGACAGACACTTTATCGAAAGTGTTTCGCATATTTTACTTGACAATAGCATTTTATTTAATGAAACTTCTGTAATTGGCGTTCAAATATGCATAAAAGTTACTTTAAAAAACCCTTCGAAATATTTTAAAAGTTTTTAAAATTATGATATGAAAAAGAATTTAAAGGATGGCCGCGTATATATTCTCTGATTAGGTTGATCAAAAAAAAAAAAAAAATTTATTCAAACTGATTTATTTGTATTTTTATTGATGTCGGATGAAGTTGAAATAATTTCATCTTTTATGAATAAAATATTGTTTTTTTGTTTTTTTGTTTTTTCAAAAGGGAAACATGAAGGGTAAACATTTAACACGTAGTCATGCTATGCGTGAATCTGCCTCGCCCCCGCGTACTCCGACGCCAAGGTCAGCGGAGACCTATCAGGTATCTCCGAACGGTGCAACTTTAAGTTACCCGACCCACCAACATCATCAAAACCATTTAGATGCAAACGAAAGCAATAACAATAAACTACATACTCAAACGTCCGCAACTAGGGGCAACTCACCGACTATCGAAACACCGACTGTGATTGTGACTAGTCAACAAAAGCAACAGCCAAATGTCTCACTCTGTAATGAGACTGAGTTTCCAAAGCTGACGCCACCTAAATCGAAAAGTGGCGGGGGTGGAGGAGGAGGAGGGAGCACTAATAATAACGGCCAACAACAATATCGAAATATTAGCGATAATAATAGCAATAACAACAATTCTAATAAGAAATCTCCTGTCGATGTAAAAGCGGTTGCACATGCAGAGACAACCTACTGTGATTCGCACAAAGGCAGTAATGGTGATGGAAATAATCGAGGTGCCACTAACGTCATTATCAAGCCCAGCGTTAGTCAAACGCAGTTTAGTACATCAAATGCTTCACATGTTGGTGAACAAAATGCATCAGCAACTCAAGCTGATACGATCTACAACTCTCATCTTAACTACCAGTTACATCTTAACGATGCCCAACAAGCTCAACAGCAACACGAGCCGCAATGCAACACTTACGATAAAGAAATTCGTAATCCACGTATTGACAGTCAGAATAGTAACAATTCTAATGACGAGCCATCGTACTATGATCATCAGCAACTGCAGCAACCGCAACAGCAATCTCATCCACAGCGATCTGCTGGTAGCAAAAAGCATCGTACAAATTCAAGTTCAAAAGGTTCAAAGTCTCGTTTGAAAAACATGAACACAAATGGAAATAACACAGGCAGTGGCGGAGTTGTTCCCGGTAGTAGCATGGACGGCAGTGTTAATAGCAGTAACAACACATCCGGATTCATTTCGAGAGGTATATATATATATATATATATATATATGCGTTGATATATATATTTATTTACATATATATTTTTTGGTTTTTAATTATTTAGAAAATTCGAACGAACAATACACAGATCATGGGGGAACAGATTTGTTAAGTTTTTTTAAGGAGACCTTAAATAAGAACGTGAAAGATCGCCAACTGTTATTGAAAATTGAGAAAGACCTAATCGATTTTGTTCAGGATGGAAAGTAATTTATATAATAAAATCTGTTTATGTTGTGTAATATCTACGCTTTTCTCTCTTTGTGAATGATTTATAGTTGCGGCGAAATGCGCTTCCCTTCAGCATCATCATATAATCGTATGCTAATACATCGTACAGCAGCCTTTTTCGGCATGGAACACAATGTTGATACTGAAACGCAGCAGTGCGTTATTGTAGCGCCAACAAAAAATACTCGCATCCCAGACGTAAGAATATTTTAATAAATTATCAAAAAACTATGATTCTATAATAATTTATTACCTTACCGATATATATTTTAGATTCGTTTTAGATCACTGGTACTTAATCAGCGAGACGAGACGCGCAAGTCCATACTCAAACGTGATACCCATAGTTTTGACGATGCTCGTCAAAGTAGCTACTTATGCCCGGATCGTGCCATGTTAGATCGCAAAGCTAAAAGTTTCGAGGAAAGGGGGGATGAATACGATCGCAGTCGTCCCCGTATATTTAATCGCATGCCGAGCGATGCTAACAGCAGTGCAGAGGATGACAATTATATAAGCTGGACAAGCTCAGTGGAGCCACAGCCCATGCCGCGAGTTCGACACAATGGAAAAATGTCGAAAACACAAAATGTATGTGCTCCACGGTCATTTATCCAAATCTAAATGGTTTTAAGCAAAAAAAAAAAAAAAAAAAAAAAAAAAATTTCCCTTAGTTTGGGTATTCTAATTACAAAAAGTATATGAAATGGGGCTTACGAAGGACCCACCTCGCTGCTTGCTTCTATGTATGCCTTTACATAGCCTTAACAAACTTGACACGTCATCATACAATGATGATATTAAATTCATTTATCGTTCGTCCACCTTTTGATGGCTTTTGCTGCTAAAAGCCCTCTCTGCTGCAGCGGAACGATGCGCAACATGTCTATAATTATAGAAAATTTAATTGAAATTTTTATATAAGAAATTTTTTCAGTGCATTTTATTCATTTCGTGAGTGTATAATCAAGTCTCATTTTTATATTTGTAGTCGTTAGATGTTCGGGAGAGTCGTTCTTGTAGTACGACAATAAAAGCGAACAATTTTGGGAATTATGGTTCCACGCAGTCCACAACAGTCCATTTATTACGAGGAGAACCAATTAACTCTACAAAAAACAATAACACAAGAGGATTTCCGAAGCAGGATACGACCGCAAACACTAATACGCCGTGGCGCCTATCTCCTTCCAGTAATAGGTTAGTATAATTCCCGTAAACGTCAATACTACATATACATCCAGATAAATTCGAAGTGAAAACGTATAGTGCTTCACATATTCGAAAGGTAGTTAGTGGATTAAAAAATTTCGATCTGGAAAAAACTAAAAAAAACAATTAAATGCAAATGTAATTTTAAGAGGACGTTTGTTTTTATGTTTACAGCTCTGCTTACCATTTTGACCCGTCCAACCTAACGCCACCACATGGTTCAAACACGGGAAACGGAATTTATCATGATAACCAAAATAACACGCCGCAGCACCAATCTTTGAAGAAAACGAAAGGAAATCAAACCCAGCAATCCCAAAAAGCAGAATCCAGCTCATCATGCTCTGCTGGGGAAAATGTATCGGAGTCCTCGACGCAAACCTCATCTACGGGTATAGTTGAGGATGGTTTAAATATGAACCTAGATGGTAATCATCAAGAAAGTAAGTATGCCACGTTATTCTTTAGTTGGCTTTAATCAAAAAATTCTGCATTCGTAAGAAAATTTCTTCTCAAAAATATGTATATCATAATGGAGAAGAGTTTTAATACTTCTTTTTCTCTCACATATATATATATATTTTTTTTTTTCAGTTACAGATGTTTCCAAGCAATGTAGTGGTGATGAATGTGATAAAGCAGCCAATAGTTGTGTTAGCATTACTACAACAATATCTACGAAAAATTATGATCGTATTGAAGTTCAAAAATTTAAAAACCAATCAACAAGTCCGAATATACCACTTTGTGATAGGGAAGACGTATCAAAAACGGAGGTATGTGCCGTTAAATAAAATTAGACCAGCTTTCTTGCAATTGCAATTTTTTTCTATTAGTTCTCAAGCCAAACATCTCATCCGGGTCAAAGTCGTGAAACACCGCACTCGACCTGTTCCACACCTTATAGTAATAACGATACCTTTCCGAAGCGTTCTTCCGAGGAGCCGAAATCAGCAACTTGGACTCAAAGCTATCAAGCACTCGACGGATCAACAGTTTTCCACACCACCACAATGTCAAATGGTAGCACTCCGTACTGTACTGCAACATATCAGCAAGCGGTACGTATACGCCACGATTGAAAATAGCTTATACGGTCTTAAATCTTTATTTCTTTATTAATAGCCGGATGGTAGTATTTATGCGATACCACAAGGAATGATTTACGCATATCCTCAGCAGGTTGTAAGTTTTTGACTTAACATAATTTTTAATCTTTCTCAAAAAATAAAATAAACGCCACGTCTAACTATGTGCAGGAGGGGGAGCTGCAAGGTTATCTTATGCCGGTATATGATACATCTCAACGAATCGCTGAGCCTGCAAATTTAATGCAAGCTGGCACGCAAACGTTATATTCTACGGGCGGCACAACAACGGTGGTTCCGCTAGCTGCGTATCCTACAACGCAGTTTGCTACAGCCAATGGCACACATATATATCCAGGTCAAGTCATTTATCCTACTGAACAGTTCCCTGTAGCTGGCGCAACGTTGGCGACCACAGCTCCTAATTCAGCTACAGGGCAGCTACATCAAATGCCTATGGCCTCTTATCCAATTGGATATCCATATCCTTACAATGGTATACTTACATGCATGCATATTTTTATTTATTTTTTTTATCTTTTGCGCTGCACATATACATACATACAAATATTTACATTTTTGCATACTTTTCAAAGGTTATTGGGGCCAAACAATGACATATTATGTTCCGCAGCATGCCATCGCAAATGTTGTACCTGCGACATCATTGTTGCCAGCAGTGCAGGTACCACCACCACCTTCAGTACCTATAACGAATACACATGTTCCAGGCGCCGTAAGTTTGGGTTTGAATGGGAACCATGCGACGGCTGGTCCGTCAACAAATTCTGCAAATATATGTAATGCCGTAAACAGTACTAGCAGTAATAACACTTCTTTATGTGTGAATCAAACACCAGGCTCAAGCGGCTCTCAAGCGCACATTGGTAGTAGTGGCACAACGATTTTCGGTACAGGTCGTATAAAACGCCCGACACCGTCGCACTATACTAGCGGACAAAGTGGCAATATATCGGTTGTCGCAGCTGCTTCAATACCAAACGGTGCTGGGACAGCGGCATTTCAATTGAATCATCAAGTACCGACTCTTACGCTGACAGCTGCAGCACCGGGAACATCAGCAACCTCATCATCAGATCCCAGTGGAAATGGAGCGACTCCAAGCACAGGCATGTATGCCTTATCACCGCATGCAACCATATTCCCTGCAAACGTGTTTTCGTATGCAAATGTTACAACCGCTGGTAGCCATACAGCTGTTTCGAATGTTGCACCATCGGCAACTCTGATTCCACAATCAGCTACTGCCCAACCTATGTCGACTGGAACGATATCTGCAAACGCTAACGCTACTGTTCACTCTCATCAGCAGAACGCTATGATTACACCGTTTTATCCAGCACATCCTACAGCTCATCCAGGCCTACACACTTCTGGGCACGCAATTCACCCACCTGGCCAAGCAGCTATACCTATTGTGGATCCAAATTTATTAACGAACATTTCTCAAGGCCCTAGTAGTGCAACATTCGCGAGAAATGGGGGCAATGGAAGCAACCCATCACAATCTACATCCAGTACACCTCATTCGATACCATCTGCACCCCCCAATCAACATAATCCAGTGGTATTTTCCACACCACCCATAATAGGTAGCAATAGTGGAAATAACTCTAACGGAGGAAACTACAATAGCTCTTCTACACCACAATATTTAACAAATTTTGATCAACACAATCAGGCCACTGGAGTTGGGAATACCAGCAACACTCACTGTTCATATTCATCGACATTTGATAAACGTAGTAATAATATAAGTGTAAGCGGCAAAAAGCTGTTAGTGTTTAATAACAACAGTTTGAATCGGCAGAATTCTGCTAATTCCAGTGGCTATAACGGTAGTGGGAAAACACCTTTGCTAACTAACAGCATCGATATAGGATCACCATTGAGCAACAATACGTCAGTTCGGTCGCATGCACTTAAACGTGGTGACGGTAACGAGAAACAACAAACGTTCTTGTTAAGTGGCCCATGCGGGTACGCAGGAAATTCCGGTAGCAATTGTCAAACTTCCTCTACCTCAGATATAGCCCCAATTAATACGGTTGGTATTTCAAAGCCGCCAATTCGTTTGAATGCAGCTGCTACCGCCTTTCGCCAAAAAACCGTCAGTAATGGCTCTAGTACCAATTACCGTAATAATTCGACGCCACAACGCAATTCCCCGGGCACAAACTCCAGCAGTAATGAAAATAGCAACAACAATTCACCTAATAGCATACAAACATGCTCAAATGCTGCCGCTCCTATCACATCTGGGTGTTATGCACCTTCGTATATGATTGGCGGCAACAATGTCAATGATTTGCATTGTAACACTGCGGCATCTTCTTTATACTTAGCAGCTACCCGCGGAACTGGACACATTCCACCACACTTGCAGCATGTTGCCGCAGGTGGGGCGGCTTTATCAACAGCATCTCCAACATCGGCTGTATCTCAACAAGCTGCTACGTCTGTGCTAGGAGGTGCTGCGGCAGCTGCCGCGGCTGCCGATGTGGCCGTTGTTGCTGCAGCGGCAACGGTCGCTCATCACCAACCACTCTTAGGCACTTATAATCCAGGCACACCAGGAGTTTACTTCAAATACGGTCATACTTATTTTGCCCATGTAAGTTCCAATTAAAGTATAATAGGGAAATTCTTTTTTTTTTGTAACATGCTTGTTGTGCTTAACAGCCTTCCGTAGCTTTACCAAATAATCGTCGCTCTCCTTCAACTGATTTAAGACCACCAATGGCTCAAATGGCTAGTGTATATCCTGCAGTCAATATGATGATACCAGGTGAGTGCATATTGTTAACTTTCAAAAATGCTGCATTCATATATTCATATATACATTCATTTTGGAATTTTAGCTCAAACACGTTATCCGGGTCGTCATACAAATCCAAATTATAAAGGCCCACGGCCTCGCTAAGCAAATAAGAGCGTGTTAACTTTTTGCCTGCAAGACTAGTTATGCTGGACCCCTAAGAGAGTAATATTAAATCAATCAAGTTAAACATTAAATCAAAGAAAGTAAACCTTGCTTCTCAGAGCGCAAAATCAATCATCCAATCATGGTGGTTTTAGCTGAAATTAATACAGTCTATAATTATAATAACATGAATAACAGAACATCACTAATGATAACAACAACTACAACAACAATAGTAACAATAAAATTATGTGCATCTCTTCCGTTATGCTTACAACGCAGTTTCGACGTTAGGCGAAGGTTTAACTTATTAATAACAAACATTAGTCTCTTCTAAGTAGATAGAAAACTTTGAGTCAAAATATGTTGATAGGTGTGGGCAGATCCGTTACATGAGCATTGCACATATGTATGGACATACGCTCATCTAAAACATCGGTTATCTAGTGTATACACATACATACATATGTATATAAATTAAAAAAAGGGCAAACAACTCAAATTCCACCCAATGCTGTTGTATATATGTATGTAGTACTAGTGCAATATATTCTTCCACTAAGTGCTGATTGCATTTTCAATGTAAAAGCCTGTACATTATGTCCGCATATACCAGCATTATTGCGGCAAGAAAATTCGAACAAAACACCAGAGGATACGTACTATAGATAGCATACAGAGATGAAAGTAAAAATTTAAACATACGCACATACTATTACTATACTATCCATATGTATGTGTGTGCATGTATGTGAGTATGTTAATAACTGCACTTTGAATTAAGATTCACTGTGTAATCGTAAGTTGTTTTAAGTAGCATAATAAACATTTATTTATTTGTCAAATTATTGTTAATATTATTATTTATTTATTTATTTATTATTACAATTATTTATTATTATTATTATTATTAGTATTATTATTATTATTATCATTATTATTTTTTATAATTATCGTTATTATTTTTTTATCATTATTGTTATTATTTCTTAATATTGTTATTATTATTATTATTATTATTGTTATTGTTTAATTTATAATCATTTTTTTTTTTTTTTTTTTTTTTTTTTTTTTGATTATTATTATTATTTATATTAATTATTTTATTGTTTCTGCTGCTGCTATTACTATTATAATTATAATTATTATTATTATCGGTAGTGTATAAATAATGATTAATTACTATATCTAAATATACATACATATGCAAATAGAATGCGTGTACTTATGTATGTGTAGGCATATTTACCAAATTCAAAATTTTATTATTGAAAATTTTTTTTACTTTTTTAATTTGATTTGTAAAAAAACAAAAAGATAATAAACATTTTGTTACTATTTGTACTAAGTAAAGTACAATAACGGAATAAAAAAAGTTTTTCAACGGATTTATAAAAAAAAAAAAAAAAAAAAATAAGAAAAAATAAGAAAAATAAAGCAAAATCAACTTCCGAGGTACAAAGATCTACAGATGTCAACCAACGTTACTACAATAAGGATTTCGATGAAATTATTATTATTATTATTTATTTATTTATTTATTTATTGTTTTTTTTTTTTTTTTTAATTTGTCGCATATATGGGTTTTTGTTTGATCAAATAATCTATTGTAAAAACTCAAAAAGTGACAGAAGAATACAAAACGAAAGTTTTCGCAAGAGGTTTTGTTAAATGCTTTAAAACGATAACAATCATTTCGTTTCTGATGTGTGACTGACTACGATGGCTTAAGTAATTTCCTTTTGTGACAAACACTTTTCATGCAACATGTTTTCAAATTTTCAAATCAAACCTCATCATATTCGAGTATAGATGCGGGAAGAATATTTAATAGAAATCTGATTAAAAAGTCGTTTTCAAATAATGATCAGCACAACGATAAGAATTGATCATTAAAATGAATTAGCACCGTTACGATATCTGGTCAACTTGAACTAATTAATGTGAACTTAGCATTTGCCGTACGGTATACAGGCGACGGTACAAAGCGACATCCAAGCGGCATCCAAAGTGAGTAAAAGTATTCAATAAAAATACTTATCCTTGCTTTCGAAAGTATAATAGTGTTTAAAAAACAAAAAAAAATATATATATAAATAAATAAAAAATAAAAAAAAAATGTGATCAGTAAAGTGACATAAGGGGCATGGCATATTATTATTATTATTTTATATTAAGATAAATTCGTTATATCGTTGCATTACTAAAAATTGATTCGAATTTTGTTCAAAACAAGAATTTCATTATTGTACAGCATAAAAATAGACAATAAAAAAAAAAAAAAATAAAAGACAAAATTAATATTCACGGCTGTATTAAGTGTCGATCCCTAATAATTCGCTTTAAAACGGATAAATTACGTCGCAATTACTCTGATCCGATAAATCTATGCGCGTAAATGTTCATAAATGAAGGCTAACGATCCTTATATGAATAACAATAATAATGAAATTTTGTCATATCGATTTTTCCAGTTTTTCAGTTCACCGCTTACTCATCTGTATGATGATATAACAATGTCCGTCGCTTAGCCATCTGTATGATATAACAATTTTCTCTTACATTTATAATTAAGAGGATGTTTAAAGCAAATGTTGATTTTTTTTTTTTTTTGGATTCGAAGTTGTCGCGATCAATATGTAATTTAAGCTAACCATTCCATGTGCATTCGTTTGTTGTCCATCCGTCCAGATATCTTTCCGTTGTCGACAAATTTACAGTAACTACGAATATATACTTGTTATTGATATCCGCTGTTATGGACGCACTTCCAACCTACAAAATATATAAATAATTAAATATTTTTGACGACAAATATTAAGTCAATTTATCTACAAGTGCCTTTATATTAATAATATCTTATTTTGATAATACATATAGCCAAAAATGAATACTCAAAGTGTTCGTTATCCTGCAAAGGAAAGCAATCGCACACAACTTCGAAATAGTAGTTTGAAAATAGACAACAATCCAATCGATGGCTGTTAGGAGGAGAATCGTAAGTGGAAGCCTACAAGCGTTTTTTATTAGATATAAATATCAAGTCATGCAGAAAGCAAATGTGGTCCAAATATGAAAACGTATCATTTTTTTTGACAGAGATAAGAAAATTATAGTTTGAATATTAGTTCAATACAAGCTTTCTGCTATCGAATAGGTTGTATGCATATATTTTTTTTTTTTTTTTATTTTTCTATTTTCCAGATATTCATCGCTATATAAGCACCCATTAACTGGAAGGGCCTGCATCCGATATTGCAATTTTTTGAGCAAAAAAATTCTATTTCGCTGCGTCTTTACATTTAAAAAAAAATAAAAAAGTAAGAAAAGTTTGATTGACATGAAGAATATGAATGAATGTGTGAGCTGGGAATGTGTAAGACGTAAAGTAAGTTTTAAGAAGATTTGAAAACAACTTTTAAAAAACTTTTCAAATGATCTGCCGTAGTCAGTGGCTTTAATTATCAGATGTTTTGCAAGCTTCTTACTGTCACCGCTTATGATTATGAAACCGAAAGATAACACGACAGTTAAAAAGTAAAGAAATGTTAAAACAAAAATACGAAAAGTATGGATTCAGAGCGAAAGAATAATTTTCAATAATAAAATTTTAAATACGTACATATGTGCGCATACAATTATACATAAATTACAATTATTATAAATTATATTTATAATAAAATTCTTAGAATATTAAAAACAAAAAAAAAAAAACAAAAAAATAATAATAATAATAATAATAATACGAAAATTAATTTTGTATTAAATTAATTAATGCAATATACTATAACATACAAACTAATAATATATAGCTACCTAAGGCATAGCGTTAATAAATTAAGAACTATATTAAAAAAATAATAATAAAATAACATAAAAGAAGAAAGAATCAGTGGAAAAATTATTGGAAAAATCAGAAATATCTGATGAAATGATTTCTTTACTTACTTTCACGTAGAGTCAGCCAATGGCGCCGTTTACGCATTTTCTCTCTTACAAAGTTAAAAAAACTCCTTTCCTTTCCTCTTTTCAAAGCCAATATAACTTTATCGACAATGTACTGTTTTGTAATAATAACTAGGCGCTGGTGTCTACTATTCTATCTTGGTTATAATTTAATCTTAATACTTAAATCGGATAATACTTCTAATATTGAAGTGATGAACGATTTTTTAGAAAAAATCTTTCAAATGTCAATCTCGTCGGCTTAAGTCAAATATTGATTCCGTCTCATTAAAACAAAATCAAATGTTCATTCAAATCTTAAAGACGAGGAATGTAATATCTTGCTATGGAAATTCAACTTACTACAATTTCTGTAAAGAAACTTTCAACATAAATTCGCAGATATTTGAGTTATTGAGAGAATGTGCTCTCCAACTGCGCTACGATACAAATAGTAAATGAATCGATATTTAGGTGCCTCACGTTAATAAGTATTATAAGTAATATGAAGTTCCAAATACTGAGATCCAAATTGCTCTATTACGTTGTGATTATGATCTATGGTACGATTTTTACATGTATGTAAACATGTGTGAAATATCAAATCCAAAGACAGAGACTAATACCTATGCATTGAAGCAATTAAGAAACGAGAAGCGTTAACGTAGACTCGTAGATAGTTCATAAATAACAATCCTGTTTGGAAAAGTATACCTAAGCGGTCGTGCCACACATACCTGACATGCACTGACCAATTGACCGATCTATCGTCATATCGACTAACCTGTTTCTTGGATGAAATGAGCAAACCGCTGGAAGGCATCGCCTATATAAAACCCTGTTGCTGATGGTTAAGCAAAAGCATGCTCTCTCAAATATCCGCCATGGATTCAGAAGAGGGCGATTGGTGCTAGATGCCGTAGGTCATGAGACTTGCGAAGGGCAGGAAGGAAGGGAAAAGAAGTACTGGGCATTGGTCACTTTAGAGGTGAAAAACGCTTTCAGTTCGGCGGACAGAAGGAGTATTCGTATGGCGTTGGTAAAAGTACACAGCAAACATCGCATGATAAATGGTACATTAAACCGAGACCTTATAAACATAAAGTAGAATGACGTGAATCTACTGCGATAAACTTTAATGCCGTCTGAACGTAGTGTTGTCTTCTAACGCATAGAGGAAGTGACGAACAACTCCTCTGCCTTGGCGATGCAAACTTAAAAGAATCGGTACCGTTTGATCTTCTAGGCATGAGAATACATTTTCAAAGTGTGTGAGTGGCTGCTTCTAAATCTTGCTTGCAGATGCCAGCGAAACGCTCAGGTGCTCATGGGCGACGAAAACACGTCCACGAGTCTCGATACACTTGAGCATCGACGTAATGTGGGTTTTGTATTGCTTATGTGTAACCGCGTCCTACCCAAACGCTCCGCAAATATAATAAAAGAAATATCCACCAATTAATAGCTTCAGCTAACGGTGCCAGGCGAATAACCACTCCTAATCGCTGTAAGAAAGGGAAGTTCTTGTCTCGACGGGGTCATGATAGTCGCGATGGAAAAGAACGAGAAAAGGCAGGTGGATTGTCGCTCTTATCGCAAACACAGTACAATGGATTAGCAGAGCGCATGGGGAAATAAATTCTTACATCACGCATTTTCTGACCGAACGATGTGTCCTTACTGCCCGGATTGTATTGTGTTTTTAGTATTACGCGAGCAAATCGCACCGCAACCTAAAAAATGTATTGTACTCGCTCATGTTCGTAGCCCTCAAGTTTTGGGAAGTTTACGAGTACGATCATCGGAGCCCTATATTACGTCTGGCTGTTATGACTTGCTCGCCAAACACCTGGCGTCTAATTCCGCAGAGAGACGCCCACTCATACGTCCTCCTCGCAGCTCGCGATAACATACTAAACAATATGGTTGGCAGTGCAGAGGCTTAGAGTGCTGTAGATGGTTTCGTAATAAGAGTTGCTACGCAGAGAAAAATCAGTTAGGCAGTTAGCTAATAAGGAATCACCAAAGCGAACTAATCGTAAATAGTTTCTGCGAAGTACTCTATAACGGGCGACCCATGGCACGAGAAGAGTATTTTTAGTATGCAGGCATCATAAAGGGATTTCTACGTTCAACTCGCATAGGAAGAAGAAAGCATACGCACGCAGTAGTAAGGAAAAAAAGGCAAAATATACTTACTAAACTCAAGATATATTTATAAATATAGCGCCCTCTTCTTGTTATACTAGAGATAGTGTTATTGAATAACGATTAGTTTATTGCATAAGGTAGTGAGAAAGTGAAATTAGCATAAGAGATTTGATTTTCTGAGAGATCAATACCTTTTAGACCATCTCTAATATATTCGTGATCATATTTTTGTTCGTTTACATGAACTGAATTATCGGGTTTCCTCAGGGGATATATGGGTATTGAGGAACTTGCCTCGTCTGAAAAAAGAGAAACCTATCGTTAAAACAATAATATTATTTTCTCTTCTCTCATGTCGACCGTACTTTTTAATCAAACTGCATTATCAACAGCTGCGAGTTATCTTTGAGTCCCAAACTAGACTTTTCGGTTTAAATCAAATAGAAGCAGGGAGCTGCAAATTTTAGGTAAATATACAAATTCAAAAAAAAAAAAAAAAAAAAACCAGTAGTAGTCGTAAGCAAATGTACACTTGAGCTAACTGTGCTAAGAAAGCAATAGTTAGGAAGACGTTATTCCCAAAATACTTGCCCAGCAGTGTATAATAACTTTTCTATTTGCATTTATAAAAACTATTATGGAAGTAGATTAGGGCGCCCACTTTAAGTGTATTTGTTCATAGGTTTTCTTTCATAGCCCAAAGCGAAAACTTTTATATCAAATAACCTTCAGCGACAGAAGCGGTTGTGAATTTAAGGGGCGTATCGATAAAAAAGCGGAACATAGATAAATATCTTTTTAATATTTTAAACTAATCAAACTTACTTAAGCATAACGGTCAATTTATCCCCTGTCGCAGATATAAAATTAATGAATAAGCATTAAATCTAGTTCGCAGAGACGTCTATATAACGCATCCTACCACGAAATGCCTTGTAGCGTTGTATGAGAAGCAAAACTTACGACGTTGTTGTTTTTGTTTATAATTAAAATTTTATATATTTATATATCTAAATAACACACAGCCCTTACTTTATTATATTGTACACTCGAATGTAAGTAAGGCTTGTTATTGAATATATTCGGAAGCGAGAAAAACTTTCTTACACTGTTGTACAGAAAAGAAAGTATTTGGTCCATAAGTACCATAGCAGTAGGTATGAGAGTGAAGGCATAATCTTGGTTTTTTTTTTTTTAGAACTTTTTTTGTATTGATAAAACAATAATATTATGATGTAAAGTAAATGGAGAAGGAAAGCTGCATTTCTTATCGTCTGATGATAGGTGTAAATATAGCGGAGTTGATCCATCGATTTAAATCACGGCGACGAGCTGAAAACTTTTGAAAGCACAATTTGATCTCAGATTTCTTACTTACACGTTGTTCGGGAAGCTCATCATTTTAAAAAAGAAAAAACTAAATATGTTTCTCTTTTTCCCAAATTTGAGAGTTTTTTTCCTAGAGCTAAAAGTTTAATCCTAAAGTTTTCCTTAATAAAATGTTCATAAGTCAGCGATAATTGACAATCCACTCATTATTTCTGTATATGTATATATATATATATATATATATATATATGTATAATATTAATCGATTATTACAGTTTCATCTTTTACTACTAAGCGTCACTACAAATTTTGCCCTGACGGGAAAGTGGAAACTGAGTGGAGTGTCTTTAGCTGGTTGTAAGAAATCTTTATAGTGAATTTTAGATCAATGTCCCTTATTTATATTTATTACATTTATTTATTTATTCTCTCTGTTTTTGACTTACTAAACACGTGCAACTTAACTAAAACAAATTAACAGTCGAATTCAATTGACTCGTCGATGTAAATCTTATACTAATTAATATTAAAAACTAATATAAAGTATATAAGCAAAAATAAAGAAAAAAATAATAATAATAGTTATTAAATAATAATTCATAAATAAATAAGAAAGAAAAAAAGCAAAAAAAAAGCATGTACACAAATAGCGCAGGGACACACCCACAGCCAGTACAGAACAAAATTGCAAATGAAATCTTAAGCTATCGCAACCATACAAAAGTGTGGCAACATAATATGATAGCAGTGGACAACACCAGTTAGCGTTCGAAACATAATGAGATATTAAGGTTAAAAGTTAGGTTAAATACGACTCTAAGCAAATCGCGCGTATAGACACCATTTAGATTTCTGCAAACAATTCTAAACAGGTTAAGTCGCTCATAATTATTCGTTCAGCTTAATGAACATGAAGTGCCTAGAGAAGCGGTTGCGGACTTCAAAGCTTATCTCACCAAGCAATGGGGACAAATCGATAGTTAGTTAGCTTGATCAAGAAGGAGATACTAAGAATAAATCTACGTTTCTCAAGTGATAGTAAGGATAACAGAAGCAAACCTATTTTCATAAGGCGGCAAAGGTGTAAGCGGCTCCCAATACAAATTCCTAAGGGCAAACAGGCAGGCAATTGCTTTTGAACTGATCTACATAACACCTATGG